AGAGAAAGAGGAGGAGGAGGAGGAGGAGGAGGAGGAGGAGGAGGAGGCGAGGGAGGAGGAGGCGAGGGAGGAGGAGGAGAGGAGGAGGAGGAGCAGGAGGAGGAGGAGGAGGAGGAGGAGGGTGAGGGTGAGGGCCACCGAGAGCGCGTCCGATCCGAACACGCCTCAGGAACAGATGGGACCCTGAGGGCCGCAACGCGGCGGAAATATTATGAACTGGGAGGGCAGGCGGGGGCCAGGGAAAACCGACGCCACAAAACCGCTCCCAGGAGGGCGAGACACGTTACGTCTGCGCCTTGCCCTCGGGGCGCTTGGGGCGCCCTGGTCGGCCGTGGAAGATCCTGTCGAGCAACCCCAGCTGATTAGCCCTCGTGCTCGGATTCTCTGAGAGCCCAGCACAGGGACGACGGAGCTTCCGAACGCTCCGTGACGTCTCGAGGGTCGTCGTGCCCGCACACCTGCGGCAGCGGTAGACTGAATTCACACAAAAAACGTCATGGCCCAATGCCGCAAATTCAGCAATGAACTCGTTCGACCCCGAACTGTTTGAAACCTCGCCTACGGCAGGCTCCTGGGGAGGGTCCGTGGGCCCAGGAAGGGGACCCTCCGAGGCCGCTGAGGGCCCTTCCCCAAGAAACTCCGCGACGATCACCTGCGACGGGGCGACGCGGGGGTCCGACACTTGGACCCAGACCTCCACCGAATTCTTAAACCATTCCGCACAGGCTACTCTCTGGAGGCTAGAGGGCTCACATCTCCTTCCCGACCCCGTCCTAAGCCACGCTAGGGTCGAGTCCGATCGCGCCGATCTCCCGCAACTCCTGCACCTGTGCTCATTGAGCCTCTTGCACCACCAAAGCTCATGGTCAGAACCCCGTCCGAATACGACTGGCTGCCCCAGGATCTCACGAGCCTCAGGATCCTGGACAGGTGGTGGGGGGCCTCGGCCCCAGCTCTCCGAGACGATAACCCGTAAGCACGCCCAAGACACAAACTGCAACGTGGCCTTATGGACCTTCAGGGCCTCCGAGAGCGACTGGGAAACCGCGTTGGCGATCATGTGGTGCGCCGCGCCCGCCTTGGCGAAATAGTCAGCCCAGGCATTGCCGAGCCAGTTCTCCACCTCTTCAGGATTCTCCAGCACACTGTCGATGTCACGGTGTGCAGGAGTCCACTCAAACCGAACAGGGTACTCAAGTACCCGACGCTGCGCAGCCTGAAAAATCTCTCGCCATATCCTGGCGTGCTTGCCTCGGCCGTGCTGGAGGGATTGGTCCCATGAGTTGCCCTCGGTAACCAGTCCCAGGAGGTCAGACACAAACAGCTCGTGATCTGGGTGGAATTCCAAACCCATTTTGATCGCATATCTCTCCGCACGGCCAACAGTCTGCACATAGAAGGGCAGGGGTCCGTACACAGCACGGACAGGCAAAAGAGTCTTGGGGTCCAGCTGGATGCATGAATACCCACACCGCCTAGTCTCTGGAACGCTGGATGCGAGGCCCGAGCCGTCGGTGTAGCTCTTGGGGCCCCAAGGCCCGTCGGTATCACCCCAAAGAAGAACTTCCGTGCTTATAGTGTCGAGCCCAGGAATACCCACAGGAGGAGCAGGGACCCCGAAGACCAGATAACTGGAGTCCCAAGCCAGACGCCCATCATACCATTCGCCCCCCTTCAGGAGCATGCCTCTGGTTGCCTCCAAGTCCTCTGAGATGTCCAAGAAGTCCTCGCGCTGCTTGAGCAGCTCGGGGCAGTCGTAGAGCACGTGGCCCCAAATACCCTGAGACTGGGCCCCACAAGCAGCACACGGCCTGATTGGTACCTTATGGCGGGCATCTTGGAGCTGAGGGATGGGGAGGTTTCCCGACCAGTGCGCTTGGAGGGCCCCGAGTCTACGAACGCACTTGATGCTCTTCACCGAGTTCCGTAAGCCTCGGTGCCATATCTGCTCGCCAGGCTCAGCAGTATAAAAATGCTTGAGCAGCCGCTCGTCCTGCCAACGCTGGATCCCCTGAGTGAGGAAGACCTTCAGGTCGGCGGGGCACATAACTCGCAAATCGAAAACGTTGCCTACATCATCAGCCACCATATGACTAGATACTAGATTCCACCCAATACGTCGTAAGGTCAGCCAACAGGCCCCGATCGGGCCCCGAGTATTTGCCCAAGACAGAGTGCCACTCTTATCTCGAAGAGCCTCCCAAGCCCGATGTAAGCGACTGTCGGGTATTCTCCTGTCCCAGACCCACTCCGCAAACTTGATGACAATGGCTAGAGTGGCGTGGTAAATGGGATCGTAGAAATCGCTCTTGTGGCTAACCAAGTAGGCGGTCACACCAGTATTAAACTTACCTGGCGCGCCGTTCAAGACGGCGGCGAAAAGACGTAACTCTCGCAGTGCAACGTCGCTTACTCCAGCAACTGCAGCACCGTGCGCCACTGATGGGAGGGCGCCTGTGCGCCACAGAGCCGTCGCGACCTTGCCGACAGCAGACTTCAGCATGGAAAACCTCGCCTTCCTCTCTCTGAGCTGTTTGAGACGCTTCTTTTCCATGCCTCGAATCACCTTGGGCCCCGTGAGCTCGTGACCTAGGTTCCTCATGTGGCCTTTGTACGGGATCTTCATGGAGCCCATGTGGCGCTGCACCCCCTTCCAGAACTTCCGAGAACCAACAACAGCCCCAGACTTGGAAGCCTTCAAGATCATGCCGAGGCCCTTGGAGTCCTGGATGAAACCCCTCGCCGCCAGCGCAAGGTACTTGGCCTCCGTGGGGTCCTGGGAGGTATGTTGGAGCCCAATGTCGTCCATGAGCGTCCTCGGGGTCACCGTGGGGGAGACCTTCGAGACCCTCTGCACCGACCTATAGGTAAGCAAGTACAAGACGTACGTAGCGTGAGTACACCCAGCTAGGATCCCCTGGAAGGACCGAAACCCTCTGGATACACTCCCAAAGGCCCTTATACGACGGGGCTGTTGGTAGCTCTGAATGAGGAGCCACAGCAGACGTAGTGGAAACCCCAGAGCCTGGCCTTCTCGGAGCAACGCATGTGGGTCCACCATGTCGTAACACTTGCTCATATCAAGCAAGATCGTACATGTCTGTTCCCCCAACAACTGCGCAACCTCCTGCTGAATATTATGATCAAACGCCGAGTCCGTAGACGTGTGGCCCGCTCTCGTGCCCCACATCTGGTCGCACTGGTAGCCAGCCTGCCACGCTGCCGAAACTGGTCTCCTGAGCTTGCCCCAGATACGCACCAAAGCGTGAGATAGAACAATCAATCGTGTGTCCCCGTCAGGTTTGGGTAAACGAACCATTTCACTGTACACCCGCTCAGGAGGCCAGGACAGCCACTGCTCGAAAACCATAAACATCTTGGCCATGCGCTCGAGCGCTTGGTCCGA